GTGTGTGTGTGTGTGTGTGTGTGTGTGTGTGTGTGTGTGTGTGTTTGCTGCCTGATTAAAGATGAAGTTTGATTAAAATCAGTGCAGTGGCTCGTGAGATATTTCGCTAACAGACACACACTTCAGTTTGTTATTTGCTTCATTCGGATTGAATTAAAGCAAACGCTTGTTTTCAGACTGATGATACAGAAAACAGCTGAGTCAGCGTTTGGGAGGTTTTTTTTCTTTTATGAATCTGTGGTCAGGAGCAGCTGACCCTGATTCACCCCCTCCTCCTGGTCCCACCCTCCTCCCAGAAATAGCCCCCGCCTGTGCAGCTACAGAGCACCTGTTGGACTCCAGACGTCCTGAGACACACGTGATCGTTTGCCACTTTGACCCGGTTCTGCTGCAGRTCTGGTTTAGCAGCTTCGACACCACAGAGCTCCAGCCTGAGGTCATCGGGACCATGAAACTTCCTCCTCCGTGCTCCACGGTTCGTTCTGAAATGAATCATTATCTGCATCTCGTTTCCTGTTTGGTCAGCTGGATCAGAACCTCTGTGGTCTGGTTCTGAACGTCCCGTTTCCTGAAAATCCTTTCATGAAACTCAGAAATATGCACGTCGTTACTAAAATCTTTATTATTTATTTGTTCTGCTCAAATATTTACCAGTTTTTATTATGAAAGAGATAAAAAAGACAATTTAATTGTTAAAGATAAATACTGCTCCTCTTTAATACATATATTTAATTTATTCCAGTGATTTCCCTCCTCCCCTCAGTCACACCTGGCAAATGAAGAAGTTTATTTTTTTAATGAAATAACTGGGAATCTTTGGCAGCTCAAACGAATCTGCTGAGCGCCTCAAATCCAGCTTAATTTTTCTTGGAAATGGGAAATATYATCCTTCTCACGAGGATAATTGGACCAAACTTTTACCTCGCTCAGCTCTCGTGTCGCKTCTAAAACGTGAAGAATTTGGGCTCTTTGACAGGAAGAGAAACCTGAACCGAGTCCCAGAAGGAGCTGGATTATGTCCAATAATCTCACCCGCTGTCTGGAGTTGATAAAACTTTTTCACGGTTTTATAGTCCGCTGAGCTGAAGGGTTTATCGCCTCACTTCTGGTGTATAAACTCTCTCCAGTGGGGGTTGAGTTATGTTCTCACCCAGCACCTTTTTATTTGGTTTCATTGGCTGTAAATAAAGCAAGTTGTTAGTTATTTAGTCAAATTGTTTTTTTTATCCATACATAAAACATTTGTTCAAGTCTAAGCAGGTGCTTGATGAAAACACATCAATTTTTTGGTAATCCAAATTTAATTTTAACACTTAATTCTCACCACGCTCCGATGTTTACATGGGTTTGTAATTCCTTGCATCACAAGAATTTTGAACATTTTTTTAAAACCTGAATAATCAGGGAGTCTTTGGTTGCTATACATCACTGATAGCCTTCAGGGCTAGCCTATGCTAAGCAGCTAGTGAGGCTAGCTTTTTGTTCAGATTGTGTTATTAATTTAAAGTTTAGTGAGTTGTTCAAATTAATTCTGTTTAGTTTTTTAACTAAAGAATTCCTGGTAAAACAGGTTGTGAATGTATAGGAAATATAGCGTTTAGAAGAAATTAGTTATATCGCGTGGAAGCATGGTTATAAATCCAACTCAATTACAGTCTACACAGGGATCTATATTATATCCTGAAAAGGTTAGACAACCTCCTGTTATGTCAAGTCTGAACACTACATCAGTAAGAAAGCAAAAGCGATTTTCCTGTCTAAAAAAAATCCAGGGACGCTAAATCAACTAGGTAAAATTAGAGGCTTTAAAATCTGTCATTTAAATATGAGAAGTCTTGTACCTAAACTGGATGAATTCAAAGTAATACTTGCTCAGACACAAGCACATGTTATGGCTGTATCAGAATCATGGCTGACTCCTGCTATACCAAATTCGTTTCTTTCAGTTGAAAATTATCCATTGTATCGTAGAGACCGTACTGATAGGCTTGGAGGTGGTGTTGCAGTTTATGTTCACAAGAAATACTCACATTCTATAAATGGCATATCTGGAGTTATAAATATCAAATATAAATATTTATATTGATTATGTTGATTTATAAATCAAATCAAATCAATTTAGACACCCAGAGAATGCTACAACAATGTTAGCATTTAGCACTAACTAGCTCATTGTTAAGTCATACTTGCTAGGTGTGGCTAGCCATCATGTTGTTTAGCATAAACAGTTATGTTGTTAATCTAATTAAGTTTTTATTTTCTATTATTTGAAAGCAGAAAACCCCTGATGATGAGCTTTATCATTTTTAATTTACTAAACAAAGACTCAAAGTGGKTCTTTACACTGATACTGTACCTAAGTTCCCTCTGGGATCAATAAAGTATTTTTGAATTTGATTTTTGAATTGATCCCTTTTCTGTCTGCGAGTCATTCACAGACTCTATTATTGMTTATCTTACCCCCGCCCGTTTCGTTCTTTGAATGCTCTCAATAGCATTCATTTCACAGAAATACAAAGCTGAGGAACATGTTTTTCAGGTTTCTATAAAGAGATGCATGTTGGTAATGTTAACCTTGGTAGAAAGCTTTTAAAACTGGGAAACAGTCGACCCAGGGAACACAGGCGTGATTTATTTGTTGTTGTTGTTGTTGTTTTAAAATCAGAGCTCATCAGCATGGTTACTAACCAGTCGACACCCAGGAATTCGACCAGCTCATTGAATGGACGCCAACCAGATTTTCTGCCAGAGGGGATGAAGAGAAAACAGGAGTTTTGCCCCTGTGCTCCTCTTACACTTTACTAAACTTTCCGAGGCTTTAAAGATGACTGCGCAGACTTGTAACGATGCAGGTACGAGCGAGATCATACGTTTGATGCAGCTCTGCGGTCGACTGAGTCGTTAAAGTTGTTTTGCCAGCTCGTGGCCGTTGACCTGCAGTTAATCGGCTCCTTGTGGGAATTCAGCTTGAAAAAACGGGCTTGTTATGGACGGGGGTTCCTGGAGGTGGGTGGGGGCAGTTTCTTTGTGTTTGGTGTTTTGCAGGGAGGGGAGCTGAGAGCGGTTTGTTTGCTGGAGCTCTGGGAGCCCTGAGAGCAACGCCGTTTGGTGAGACCGTGATTTAAAGTGGAAGAGAAAGAAAAGGCGTCTCCACCAATCTTTAGACGTAAAACCTGGTAGGAAACAAACCCATGAGGAGTAATTTGAACAGTTTTTTGCTGCTRCTTGGAGAAAGAAAACACCAGAATTTTTTTTACATTTTTCCCAGAAGAAGTCTTGAGTCACTGCTGAAGGTGTAACAACACCTGATCTGGAGAGTTTTTGAGAAACCAGCTTCCTAATTACACATTTTCAGATAATTATACATAATATATATGTAAGAAAAAACAATGCAGAGGTCTCCTCTCCACAGGATTGGTTTGACCTCTGACCCCTCTTGGGTCCGGCATCGTTAAACCTTTGGAATGCGATTTGGAAATCTTGTYTCAACACGTCCAGTGTGTTCGTTTCTGTCCAAAAACACGAACTTTGGACCAGATTTCAATAATTTACTTTGTAAATAATGGATTTAGTTTGTTAAAATAAAATAATTTTTTTTGTTTTTTATCCAACAAATGTTTGATTATGTAAACCTGAAGCGGTTAGATGCTAAAAATCTTCAATTTAAAAGATAAATTTAGTTTTTAAGATGATAAAAAATACTTTTATTTAATCTGAAACACATCATGTAAAATAAGTTATTTTATTCTTGATTAGAGTTTCTTTAATGTGACTTGTATCAAATCTTCTTAAAGGGGCAATATCATGTAAAATCAACTTTTTTGAGTTTTATATCATGTTATAATATTATACTCTCATAAAAACATGTCCAAAGCTTTGCTCTGACTCATTCATGCATGTTTGAGAAATCCTGC